CTCGTCAGAAAAATCGTTTGAAGTAAAATACAGGTGACATCTGAAATGGAAAAAAAAATATTCGAAATGTTATTTGTAAATGACAACATCACTTGGTTTGTTGATTGACTGACTATAGATAAATGCGTCGCATTTAGAAGCTATATGAAGGCTTGGCACTTTGGCGGAAGTTTGTCCAGAGGTGGTCCACACAATGAAAGAGAATAATAAATTTTATTTATCTTGGTTCTTTTTCTATTTTTGTAACATACAAAAGATCGAATGTGCGTTCAAGATAAGCAAGGCTGTTTGCTCTTCTGAGAAAAGATAGGGCCAGAAGTCCTTTCTCACCCTCCCTTAATTGTACCGTATAACAGTACTTCGGCATTATTATGGTGGGCAATTCTTTGTCCAAAATACGAAGCTGTCGTTCTAACAGCTCATGGTTGTACCACTGAAGACCCTTCGAACAGAGGGGGCCGATGCATGTTAAATATGTCGAGGCTCAAACGTCCTCCCGTTGGTGTGGTGTGGAAGTTAGGAGAAGAGGGTGTCAGATCAGGTGTTGTCCTCGTTACTTGACCGTGGTTCGAAATTAAGAGGTTCACGCGAAAAGCCCCCGTCTTAATATTCACTCACTCACTAACAGCTCATGGCAAGATATTTAAAGTTCGTTTCATTTCTTTGATTACGTTGATTTTTTTCACGGCAATCTATTGGAAATATGAGCAAAGATAGATCACATAGGGGATAATAGCTCCATATGTCACAAAACTAGAACTGAACAGAATAGATCACATACCATAGTAGTGATTTCAAACGTTAAATTAAGAAAAAAAAAAAGAAAGTATTCATTTTTTCAACAGAGAGCGAGTCAAACTCATTTGGATTGTAACGGTAAGAATTTTTTTTTTTTGTTATCATTTCTTTCTACTGTATAATAGAGTTCATAATACATTCGAGTTTATTTTTACTCATTTAACATGTTAAAAGAACATTGTGTAAAACCGTGTGAAATAAATACTATATTTGTAGAGTAAAAATGGAATTATGTTGCACGTTCTTTTGAGGCAAGAAAAATGAAATTAAGAAACTAGTTTAAAAATTGCATACATTTATCATGAATCTTAAATTTATACATGTTTCAGAAAATAATTGAAATAAAATGTGAAACACATATTGTCTCAACATAGGACAGTAAATTAATAACATTTGAAATAATATTTAATTATTCAATAAAATTATTGAATTAATATTTAATTATTATTTATATATAAAACTGAGATAAATAGAAATCGCTATTTTCAAAATTAAGACCTGGTTATAATTTACTCTAAAACGTAAGGCTCAGTATTTTGTTTTTATTGTGTACTCGTTTTCCTAAAGAAGGGGGAATGAATAATTTACAAGAGGTTGTAATAATTGGAGAAAGCTGTCAAATGTAATCCAAGATCATGGGCGTTCTTTTCGCCACTTTGTAAAATTCATTTGTACCATGGAAGGAATTACTAAAACGACTAAATTTAAGTTCGACTATTGATGAAACACAATCAAGTTATTATAAATAAGGAAATGGAACAACTCAAAATGCTATTTCAAATAATTGTAGATATGGCTGTATTTTTAGCGTTTAATAGCCTTCCATTTCGAGAAACCCATAAAGTACTAAGAATGCCTAATAATGGAAAAAATTTTGTTTATTAAGTAAATACCACCCTGTGCTAATGGAACACATAAACATAATAAGAAACTCAAAAAGTAGAATTGTGCATCGCTTAGCACATGGGTCATAAGAAGGAATATCTGCGTTTGGGAATGAATTAAATTAATGACCAAAGGAGCCAACATCGATCATTATGAGATAGGTAAATTTCGAAGAGGAAAAAATTAACTGTAAATGAGTCATTTATAGGGTGTATTGAAGTGACTGGAGAAGGAAACGAATAAATGAGCTCGATTTAGATATGAATTGTAGAGCACGCATACGACAACGGCAGCAACATGAAAGGAAAATATAAAGGTGTACAATCTAGACTAATTGCTCCAAATTCTCATGAAATTTATGTGTCTTGCCTATCACATTCTTTTAATTTATTAATTTGTGAGGCTGCTTCAAGCAGTATATATTGTAAAAAAAAATTTGGGGTCATGTAACGTTCATATTGCTTATTTTCTGCTTCTACAAAAAGATGAGAAATTCTGCAAAAGTATTTAAACGTTACTCTTAAACCATTACGTGAAACTCGTTGAGAAGCCCAAATAGATTCGGTTAAAGCAGTGTATGCACAATTTGAACAAATTTGTAATGCTTTAGATCGGGGGTTCTTAACCTTATTCCCCGTCAGGACAGATTGCTGGCGGGCACAATTAAAAAAGTATAACGATTCTTAATACATTTCTTTATTTTATTGCAATAATAATCCTAGTAAACAATATCATACACTAAAAAGGTAACACAAAATAGTTCCATTTATTACGACATTGGGTATTATCCACTAATTTTTCAAAGCAAGGCGTAAAGAAGATATTCCCAATCTTATAACATCTTCGAGGCCGCTGTCGTTAAGTGGAGATGCGATTGTTGACTGAGTTGTGTTCATTGGTGCGCGAGCAACGATTCACGTAAATATGTAGAATCGAAACAGGATTTTCATTTGAAAGTTCCTTTTTTCAAAAGGGGATATTTTTTTAAATCTTCGGCTAGATTTCAAATGTTTTCATTAAATTCGCACGATTTTAATACAATATCACTCAGAATATTTATAAATTTTTATCTTCAATTGAAGATGCTTCTTCCTGAATAATTTTCCCCATGGAATTTGCAACCTCGAAAATATTTATTTGAGGATTTAAGGGGCTTACAAAAAATGAAGCCACTGGCTCAATATTTGAAAATTGCTTTAATCTATTTTCGAATTGTTCTAAAAACTTCTGAAGGTGACCAATAAAAAAAAATTCGGTCGAACGAATTTCCATCGATGATTTTTTTTCATTCGTGGAAAATGATTCCTATCTTATTGATAAATTCTTTCCAGAATTGTAATTTTAATTTAAAACTATTAATTGCAGAAATAATTTCCACTAGATCTTTATTTCCCCCCCAGAAGGCTTAAACTTTTTGCAAATATCAGTTAAAAATGCCTTCAACCAGAGGTCACCCACTTGTTCAAAACATTCACATTTTGAAATGAAATAGTTTACAATCCCTTCTAGATGTTTCAAAAATCGGGCGAGAGCCTCGCCTCTACTTCACCATCTGTGTGTAAAATAAGGTCAGATTTTGAAGAATTGACCTCTTCTACAATTTTATAGATTCTATGTAACAAAGGATTGGTTCGAATTTTGTTGATTATTTTTATAACTAAATTCATGATATTGATATAGTATAGGGCGGGCACTGGGTTAAGAACCCTGCTCTAGATGAATTTATGGATGAAAGTAGTGATAATACAGCGATTTCTCAAGTCTAAAGACTATTGGATTCAATACATTTATTTTATGTTTAATCATAGGGAATGCAATATAGTCCAAACTGTCAATGAACAGTTTCAAGCAAAAACAAGTATTCTTGACTTGGCTTGTAATTTAGCCAAGGAAATTAAAGCTGAAAATAATCCAAATTTTGGCCCATTTTTAGAAGAAGCAAAAGTGCTAGCACACGTAATTTGAATATTTGAGAACATTTTTTTGGAAAAACGAATTCTAAAAAGAAAAAGATTATTTTTCGAAATAGCAGATCAATTTACAGAAAATCCGGTAGAGGGGAATTTAAATGTTACTTCTTTAGCACTAATTGTGTGTGTGATATACCCTTATTGCAAAAATAGATTTGAACGTATACCAAATATTAATTCTGATTTCAAATTAATCACTAATATGAAAACCTTAGTAAAACAGGAATTCGAAGAATGTTCCATTGTAAAGTTTTACAACAAAGATGTAAATGAAAACCTAATACAGGAAATTAGTTTGCTGCGGGTTTTAATTTTGAATGTGAAAAAGATGTAAATAACGCACAAGATATATTGTAATACATACTAATAATAATTTTAATAAGTTAATTCTAGATGTATTCACCGTTTTAAAACTTTTCTGTAAGTTGCCAGTTACTATAACACGTGTTGAGCGCTCTTTCAGCAAATTAAAATTAATAAAGAATTACCTTCGTCAAACATGTAAACAGAAGGCTTGCACTTGTAATGTTAAACATCAAAAAAGGAATAGGGGGAAAAAAGTGATTTTTTTTCTTTTTTCAAAATAATTAATTAGCAAAAACACACGAAATCACTCAATAAATTAACATTCTTTCGTAATATGTGTGCTCGTGTTTGTAATTTTTCTTTACAAGGCATTTAGGGCCCCAAATGGTTTCTTGCATCCGGCCCTGGTCACAAGCCTCGTAGGGTGTTAGTGGTTCAAGGAGCATAATGATCAGTTATGGTCATCTATTACGCTGGAAGTTAATTCGATAAAGCACTTTTGGGCTTTCATAAAAAGGCATATTAGACACCTATTTAGAACTATCTCAACTTCACGTGACCGCGGTGTACAAAGTCCTTCCAAGGGAGTTGAAGTGGTTTGGGTGGCCAAAGGTGGGGCTCCGCGTTACTGAATAATGCTTTGGCTCTTCAGTGTATTTTACGAACATATCAAAATACATTCCAGCGAGGGATAATGGCACAAAGAATAACGCGCCTGCTTGGCTAAGGACTCCATGGTCGAATCCTGGTTGGCTCGATATATGGCACAATGAATGTCTTTTCCTTTTATAATATTCATTCTATGAAAAAATTTGAATATCTAAATTACATATTATATTCTCGATAGGAGGGCCAGTGGCTTTATATATATAACGAGCCTGCCTGACTACGAATCAGGCGTTTCCAGATTCGAATCCTGGCAGTCATGATACATGCAGTGTGTTTTTATGCTTCTATATTTAGAATTTCTATCATAAAAAAAAAATGTGTTTTGCGAGAAACTATGCATATGCTAAATAACATCCCGCTTGAATGTTACGAGGACCAATGGCGTGACAGATAATGCACCTGATCTATGATCTGGAGATTCCAGGTTCGAATCCTGGTTGGCTCACCTTTTCGTTTGCGCTACTGTTCAACGTCGGTTGTGAGCGGAAACGTCTTTTTGTAGAATAAATATAATAAACTATCAAAGAAAACCCTTAAAAATTCGTTGTTATTCCTCGAGTCAGCCAGGATTTGAACCTGGAATCTCCTGAACTGTAGTCGGGCGCGTTTTCCATTGCACCATTGGCTCTCGTATCGTTCTACCGGGATGCATTTTATCATGTGCATATTTTCTCGTAAGAAGCACTTTACACATGACTTAGAACCCTAAAAAAATCAGTATAAAAGCACATAAACAAATATCAGGTCTGTCAGGATTAGACCCTAGAATCTCCTGATCCGGAGTTAGGCGCTTTATTCTTTGCTTTACAGCCCGGTGTATATTGTAAGCGGTTTTACGTCGTTTTGTAGAATAATTATTATAAATGAATTATTATCAATTGTGAAGACGCACAAATTCATTGTTGTTCCTCAAGGCAGCAAGGATTCGAACCCGAAATTTCCTTTTGTGGCGCGTTATCAGTTGCTCCACACTATCCCTCTTAATAGTCAAGCGGGATGTATTTAACCCTTTAAAAGGCCGTGGTAAGTATACTTACCACCAACTTCCCAAATTTTTAAATGTCAATGGGAAGCTTTTCCCACCTATGCTTTGTGTTGGTAGCACTTTGACTGGCATGTGATTGCTGATTTTAAGTCACAAACGAAAAGGACGACCTTAAGTCTCCTGAGAAACAAGGAAACTATTCAAATAGTGTACAATTGACTGCATTCGTTGACTATGCGAATTTTGTAAGAAATCATAGAGACGTTATAGTTTGGGATCAACTAAAACGCATGGGGAGATAACAAGATACGTTTGTTCAGCTGGTAACGTCCCACTATGTGTTGATCCCTCTTTTCTGAAATTTTATAGAAAGTAACATCGATAAATTCATAAATTTTTCGTTACAAAATATACCTAATTCATAATTTCTTCTGTATATTTTTGTATTTTCAAATTATATTTTAAAATATTATGTAATGGGATATAAAAAGAAAAGCATAATATATTAAGATGCCTTATCTCTGAATAACTCTCGGGGGGGGGAGCCTACTTCCCCCTAAAATGGTCTTAAAGACAATTTAATTGAGTACAATAAGCTGAATGAGAGAATTTCTTTTCATAAATCAATCGCAATGCCAAAAATATTTTAACGTAGCTGTACTAAAAAAACCCGGCCTTATAAAGGGTTAAATAAATGCTTATTTACTATTAAAACGCACCTTTTATTATTGGAATTCTAGAGGAAAAATAAACAAAATTAAATCGCCAAATATCGAGCCAGGCAGAATTCGAACCGGGAACCTCCTGATCCGTAGTTAGGCTCGTTATCCATTTCGCCACTGGCCTACGTTCGCTGAAAGCAACATGCCACTAATGGTATTGTGAAATCTTTTCATGGAATAAAGTAATACAGTATTCTTATAAAAGAGGGAAAACGTAAAAATGCACTGTCATTCATTGAACCAGCCAGGATTCGAACCTGGAATCTCCTGATCCATTGTTAGGCGCGTTAGCCATTTCGCTACTGGACCCCGTTATATAAATCTTTATGTATTTTAAGACTTTCAAATATTTTTGTAGAATAAATATAAATATATTCTTATAAAACACGTCTAAGGAGTTATTTTACCGTTTGTACAATCTGTTCCCAAAAGCCAAGCCACTAGGGTACAGAGGGGGAATGAACTTCCATGTTATTCTCTGGTCCGAAGTTTCCTTTTCGATCTCTTCCCAATCCAGCTTTTGTAGCAAACTTTCAGTGCCCACAAAGTTAAGCCGCATTCACACCAAGGCAGCCAGTGTCGAGCATTGAGCGTCTAGCCAATCGGAGACTTTTTCTCGGGCGAGATGAAGTCTATGATTGGCTAGACACTCGACTTCCTTGGTGTGAATGCGGCTTTAGTGTCATTGTCACTGTACATCACCTTTGGTTGACCTCTTCTAGTTATGAACCGCCGAAGGCAAAAGAGAAATGATCTTGTAGTAAGTGACAGTATCAGTTAAAGATGTACTGCACGGTAAACACCCCACAGGTGAAAAGAACTATCCAACAACTTCCCTTTAGAGTAAGTGGTCTAACCAAGTTCACGTGGCCACGGTAGCCTAGTTGTTAATATTGGATCGTGGCTGGCATGTCACGAGTTCGAGCCCAGTAACACTGAAGACCTGCCGTGTAGGGGAACGATGCACGTTAAATCTATCGAGAGCTCAAACTTCCTCCCGTTGGTGTGGTAGTGAGGAGAGTGGAGTGCCAGCTCAGGTGTTGTCCACGTCACTTGACCATGGTTCAAAATGACGAGGTCCGTCGCCAAAACCCTCATGTAGCTGAACAGTGAGATGCTAATATTCACTCACTTATCCAGCCCACTCCGCTCACTTCAAACGCAGCCGATTCTTCTACTCTGTCCCGAAGCAAACTGACAGTTGCTGTCTCTATGTTCCTGAAAATGCATCTTAAGCATTTGTTAGTTTCTCTGCAAACGGTTCTTCTTCCATTTATAACCGAAAATTTTTCTCTCAATTTTGACAAGAGAATCTGTATTCCAGCATGAGAGTTTTCCAAATGAGCCTCTCTGACCAAAAGTTCTACTAACCTATGTTTTCCAGGAAGAAGAATCGGGTTTCTTCTAATTCATCTTGGTTTTAATCCATAAAATACTCTCCTCATCTCTTAAAACATTGTGGGTTTTAAAACCTTTAATTGATTCTTCTGTGAAAGACTCTTATGTGAATCAGCCGAACAATCCTTTTCTTCTGCTTCATTTATTTCAAATATAATCAAACATCCCTCTTTTCTGTATTCTTTAATAGTCTTCGAATTATGCTCATATCTTAAGATCCATTCCAGAATTCTAATAATTTTGTTGTAGCTTGATGACAGAGAGAAGACTTCCAGTAACAGGAGAGTTGTTTAAGAGACTAAATGATTTGCCCTATTTTTCTATTGAGATAATCGCCTCTTTAATTGGGTGACTCGTTTCTGGCCACATTTTTTCACGTAAAAGCAGCCACATGGGTCCCTCCCACCATTTAGATTTCAACAGAGCATCCCTGGAGGGCAAATCGCGGGATTTAATACCCCAGAACATGTCTCCAGTCATCGATGTTTCACAATTTGCGGATCTCACTCTATTACGGACAAAACACTCCAAGGTTCTTCTCGTTTTATCCATTGGAGAGTTGTGGAGGAATCGGTCCAAAAGTGTGTTTTCATATTTACCATGTTTAAGCTCTCTTTTACAATTTTAAGTCTTGCACCAATGCAACAGGCAAGTAGCTCCAGTCTCGGAATAGCAACTGTGGTTTTAATGGGGCCACTCTAGACTTTATAACTAGCAGTTGTATAGAGGTTTCATGAGCTGAATGACATCGAATGAATACAGCTGCTGCATATGAAATGCCACTAGCATCGCAAAATACGTGAAAGCTTAAAGGATATATTGCTAATTAAAAATGTTCTTGGAATTTTCACAAGATGTAACATTTTGATATCTTCTATACATTTCAGGAATGTTTTCTTCATATCCTTTGATATCTCAGAATCCCGGCTCACTTTTGATCGCCAACTCTCTTGTAATAGTATTTTTGGTTGCAAAGAGACTGGGCAAGTAAAACCAATCGGATCAAAAACTCTATTGGCACAAGATAAAATCACACGCCTAGTAATGATATCTGGAGGAATTTCTACTAAGGAATTATCACAGAAGAGCACATCTTCTGATATGTCCCACAAAAGTTCTAAAACAGGGGAGTTGGGATATTTTAATGAAATTGCTTCTCCTGTAAATTTCCAACCTCTAGGGTCAAACTTGGCTTGTGCCATCAGCCTGGTTGAATCTTCGATAAAGTAATGCAGTTCCTACTCTCTGAATTAAACGAAGTGACACAGTTGTCAACATCAAATGAATTCTTTAACTTCACAGCGGTATAATGAAAAAGAGTAGGCAAATATTGGTCTAAATGACAGCACTCAATAGAAAGGGGCTGCAATTTAGGCCAAAAATTACTCTGGCATGCTGATAAACTCTAGTAGAACTCACCACAGAAATTTTAAGTAAATGGTTGAAGTGGCCTGCGATGTTAGCTGCCCTTAATCCCATCGAACACGTTTGAGACGTCCCTAGACACTCAATTGCATCTCGAAGACGAGCTCCATCGATGAAATCAAAAGTGCCTTGACACAAGAGTAAGTGTGGTTGCCACAGGGTTGAGAAGGACCTCGGTAAACAGTATGAAATACTAACGCAAGATAACAGGGCGTGCGTTAGTTACTTTGCTGGTCAAATGACCAGTTTCCTTTATGGTGTCGGTTGTGATAATATTTTTCCCCATATCGGATCGTATTTTGGCCAAGTTTGGTTTTATTTGCTCTGTTAGTTCTTTTTTTATTGCAGAAAAACCCCATTTGTCTCTTTAATTGTTTTTATCAGTGTTTAAAAATAAAAATACATATTTACGTATCGAGCAATAATTAAGTATCGAGTATAACCTGGAATCTCCTGATTCATAATCAGGCGCGTTTTACATTGTGCCATTGACCCACGTTAGATAAATCTGTATGTATCTTAAGATTTACAGATCTTTTAGCAGAAGAAATATGATGATTATATTATATAAGGAAAAATTTGTTGCTATTTATCACAAGCCAGCCAGGATTCGAACCTGAAATCTCCTGATCCGTAGTCAGGCGTTTTTCCTGATGAGCTATGTTTAACAACGGTTGTGAGCTGACACGTCTTTTTGTAGAATAAATATTACAAATGTATTATTATCAAAAGAAAAAAATTAGTTGCCACTCCTTGAAAAAGCCAAGATTCGAACTTGGAATCTCCCGATCCATAGTCCTTTGCACCACTAGCCCACGTAAAAACGCACTTTATATTATTGGAATACTAGATTTTAAAAAAAAATAAATATAAAAATACACCGCCAAATATCGAGCTTTTCAGGATTCGAACTTGGAATCTCCTGATCCACAGTCAGGCGCGTTATCCGTTGCACCACATGCCTTCTTAATAATCGAGCGGGATGTATTTTAAGAAATGCATACTTTCTATTAAAACACACTTTATATGATTGGAATTCTAAATAAAATTTAAAAATACATATTTTAATATCGAGTCTGCCAGGATTCGAACCTGCGGTTTCCTGTTCCGCAGTCAAGCGCTTTTTCCTTTGCTCTACTGTCCAACGTCTTTTTGTAGAATGAATACTATGAATCAGTGCTTCTCAAACTTTTAATGTTTGCGACTCAATATTCAACCATAACTTTCATCGCCCCTTCCCTCCCATACAATAATAATAATAATGTATTGAATTCAATAATACTATACTTTGACGCTAAAGCTACAATACAACTTTAACTTAAGTGTCACCGGCGAGGATAGATGTCTCGCTCAGCCAAAGCGTTAACTACCCCGGACATGGATTTTCTCTGTGTATACTGCTATCCATAAAATTATTCCGAAAGCTTTGGAATGCAATAAAAGAACTTTGACAGTGTTTGCGAAGTATTTACATATTTATTCCTTTTCATTTCCCCCACCCCCCGAATACATCACATGCGTGTCTACTTGGTGGCACTGAGGAGCGAATCGTGTAACTTTTATTTGGCAGTTAAGGGATTAATTATTAACAGCATAAATTATCAAGATCAGTGTTAATTTTTGTAAAAATTTATATATGACAAGCGCTTGGGTCACTGGTAATTATTAAACTTGTTAACTTATTATTATTAAACTAATTGTAAAATACATTCTACAGTACTGATACATTTATAAGTGTATTATGTCTCAGTCCAAATGTGTATTTTATATTTCTTTAAGTCAGAATGTATTTTGGTTGTTTACTTTCAGTAAATTAATAATTTTTTTAAAAAATCTTTTTGTTTTCGACTTTTTAATATGCTTGCCTCCCCGGGGGGGGGGCACCCCTCCGAAAAACGCTGCTGTTCGCTCACACGTGCACTGCACTGATTCACTACACATATTTTAAATTAAATGTAAAATAGATTACACCACACATTAAATGGCTAGGACTAAGATAAAAAGGAATTTTATTAGAACGTTCTCCATACGCTCTTACTCTCTCGATGTTTACACATACATTGCACTACACATACTAGAGCCCTCTCGCGACAAATATTCACTTGTTGCTATGGGCGTCACAAAATTTATTTGTTCAACACCGAACATCCACCCCCGGGTTGAATGACACATTCAACAATTTTCAAATAACACAATAATACACAAAACCAATGATGCACACACAATACAAGCCAATAATACACAATACAGAAAACACTAATACTCAATAAAAGTAATATTGTTCCATACACGAAAGTACTCAACACTCAAACACACAAAATTGAATTGAAAAAATATACACAATTTTGAAATTTTCACATACATTATTCACTTGGAAAAGGAAAAATACAAAATTTAGTTATTGGACGTTAAAAATTCCATTTTTAGTTTTCACTAACACTACTCTAATTTTATTATCTTTCCCATGATACATTTCAAGAATTCTA